TATGGGCACTGTATCTATTGATGTAGGCTCGATAAGTTGAACCACCTAAATTTTTATATTTCCAGTTTTTTCCCATTTTAGATCTCTAACATCTCCCCATCCAAGTTTAACCAGGGGGGCCTATGATTCAAAGGATGGGCTTTGTCAACTATCACAAGATATTCTTTTTTTGTCGTCTCCTCTGATAGCCAGAGTTTGCCAACCTGCAGATAAACATGTTTTCTAGCCCAATTTTTGAAGCAAAAGTAAAGGATTTTTCCTTAACGTTCTTGCATTCAAATTTTCCAGAATTAGTCCTGTACATATATTGGTCATAAGTTTCTAAAAGCTCCTTCCTTGAAGCTTAATGTGGGTGAAGACGCTCCTGAATACCTGTTGTCCAAGGACCCACTTCTTCAATGATTAACCATACATGGCTTAGAAGATTTGGTAAATCTAAGAGTTGCGTTGCAGATATTTCATTGGTAAAGGCGCACCCCTTTTTGCAGCTATTTGTGTTGCAGGTCCATATTTTTGGTTCCTAGGTAAAATTTCTGCACGTTTTGATAAGTGTATGATAAATGACATGCTTCACAGTGCAATTTAATTTTGGCACACTTGGCCATAAACTTGCTCACTTTTCTCTTGAATGCTCGCAGGATACTAGATTGCCAACCGTGCCATTTAGAATGTACTTTTAGTTAAACAGATGAATTGAAATTTCACACAATGAATTTGGTTATATTTGGTTTTTGGAACATCTTATATAGGGGTGTAATTTGGGCGGGTTAACTCGAATTCAACTCGAGTCCAACCCAAAAAAAACAAAACTTGGGTTAGAATTTTTAGTACTTGGGTTGGACCTGGACAAAAAAACTCTAACCTGAATTGAATTTGAGCAAGTTTCGAGTTGAACTCAATTAATAAATTGGGTTGAACCTGAATATACATAAATATATTTAATTAGGGTTAATATTTATCTTCACTCTTCAGAGTCCAGACTTTCACTTCACTTCAAGTTTTCACCTCTCTCACTCATCACTCTTCCCTCTCTAACCCCCTTTCTCTTCATCTGTTTCGTTTTTCATCTCAAATCACTTAAAAAAATCATATCTACGTTTGAAAAAATTAAATCTACACTTCAAAAAATCAACCTGATTTGCATATTCAAATTCAACTCGAACCCGTCCGAATTAAACTCAGGCAGTACTCGGGTTGAGTACCTCGAGTTGAGATAGAGTTAGAGTTAGGGTTAGGGTTTGGGTTGATAATTATATACTTAAGGTTGGGTTAAGGTTAACCTCTTAACTCGCCCAAATTATACCCTTAATCATATGTATCCTTGCATTGGGATTGCCATTTATTGTTTTTGTTTTTCACCTACTTTATGCGAAGTAGAGAAATACATATTTTCATCACAGATCACGTAGGAACTATCATTCACCGATGATTTAAATATGAAAAAAAAGAGTTAAGGGTAAATGAATTGAGATCATCAGAGATTGCTATAGCACCTGAACTTTGCCTTCTGGGAGAAGCAAGATTAAGACAGCACATTTGAAGTGTTCATTTCAGCAGCACTAGGATGACAGGTGGAATTAATGGTGAAAACTAAAATCCCATTATAGCCAAACATGGTCTTTTGTTCATTCTTGGATGCGATTATTCTTCATGATGTAGGCATCAACTATTTTCTATCTATTGGAACAAGCTAGATGCAGTGGAGAAATCCATTTGAAAGTTCAGTGTGATCATCAGCTGCCTAGATACTGGCTATGTGGCTAATATTATCTAATTTGCACTTAAACACCAATATGCTTATGAGAATAAGTGTCACTGGTTAAGAAATGAGAGCACTATCAGACAAAGCCATTTGTAGCTGTGTCGTTTTTGGAGAAATTCTTTCAGTGCAATTGGTTAAACTAATGATGTTAGACAAGCAAAAAACTCATCATGGGCTTGGCTTGAAGAGTCAGAACATACATGCTGGTGATTTTTATAGAGTTATGGCCTTAGATAGAGGTTCAATTTTGGATAAAGTAATTTTACCAAACATGTAGTTGAGATTAAACATGGTTTTCCAATGAATAGGTCCTATAGCCTGTTAAAATTCGAGGGATAAGCATTGGCTTGACTTGTTTTGCAAGTTTTTTTTTTTTTGGTCAGTCAGATTATATTTCTATTATTTGAAAAGAATTGTTTATAAGAATCAATGCAATTACAAACTACTTTAACAAAAAAACAAATATCAAAAGAAAACACCCTACAATAAAGTAAAACACATGAGCCAAAATCATCCTACTCTCTCATGTGTTTCTTTTTCACACATCCTTTCCAAAACCTCAACAGGCCAATACATCCAACCAGGAGAAAGCATGTCACTGGGTTTGCAAGCTTAGTGGACTGTTTCTTGTGCTTTCAAGACATGTAATCGATTGACTGTATTAGTTATGTTATCGTAATTTCTTTTTCTAACCAAGGCAGATTTTTCTTTCATATACTTGCCTTGGGGCAATCAGCACATTCTTTTTTCTTTCCTTGTTGCTGTTAATATGGAGATCACCCTCAAAAAGAAGAAAGATAAAAATATCACCATCAATACCTCAGATTTGTGGGAGTTTTGGGTGTTATGGTCGCATTAGCGATATTGAATTTGCCTTGTACTATAGTTATTGATTCTAGCAATCAAACTTTGAAGGGAACCCCAGCAGAAACTGACGATATTGAATGGAGGAAACTGCAAGAAGTCGTGCTTCAAGCAAAGAAACCTTCAGGAGTCCGGTTCGTAATACTTCAATCATAACTGCACATATCCTCTCCAAAGCAAAGGCAATCAATAAAATAAATCTGAAATTATAGAGTTCAATAATAAAGTATAGATTAAAGATTAAAATTTATTATAATTTAGTTTTAAAAAAACTCTTGAAAGATTATGTCAAAAAAATAAAATTTAAAATTTACGTAGAAAAGTACGGTCCATCTCACATATACACATTTAATAAAGGAAAAAAAAAGATTAACACTTAGATAAAAAAATATAATAAGTATCTCTTTTTTTAAAAAGCATCATTTATTAAACATCAATTTTTTTTTTAAACATAAAAATACTAACTAATTAAATTGTTCATTTTCATAAAGGATCCACAATAAAAATTAATTAATATAAAAAAATTTCAATAAAGTTGCTATCAGAGAAAATAAAACACAATAAAATAGTAGCTGAATGTTACATACATAAACAAGTTAAATATCGTATAAAAATAATTAAAAAATAGTAAAATAATATTTTTTGGAACTTGATAAAATAATTCAATAACAATATAATAAGGAATTATAAATGTATATTGATAGTCAATCATGTAATACTACAATTTTAATGAAGAAAATACAAAATAAATTAATAAGAAGAACATAAAAATAGTAATAAAATAATAAATTGTATTTTAAAAAGTGCAGGTCAAGCAAGATATGAGAGAGACAAACTGATGTACGGATCTATTTGTTAAAAAATGTGTATTTAGTCATGATAATCTCTGTATATTTATAAGTCCTATGAATTATAGTATTGAACAGTTGCACGGAGAAAACATGAGTATGAAATAACAAAAATGTAATGTTTAATATATATTAGATGCCTAAATTACTAAAAAAAAAATTATGTGACACCATATTGTAATATTGAACATCTTTAACGGTACCTTATAATGGTCAATGAAAAAATGCATAAAATATAAAATAACAAATATATTACTTTTAATTATTGCATGTTATCCAGTATTCAATTTGTCTCACTTAATTAGTTCTATGGACGAAGACTTGACAATGAGGGATGGAAAAACTTATAATTGTTGTGAGATGCACAAATACTTTAATCTTTTAAATAGGAGGAGGCACAATAGGGCCGACCCTAGGACCCGAGCATTATAATAGTCACCTAGAGCTTTAAAAATTTAGAGCTCTAATATAATTTTCAGTTTTTTATTTAACTCTCTATGTTCTGAGGCCTTTTTGAAAGGAGCAGATCAAATATATTTCACAAATCTATCTAAAACTTTATAAAAAATGCTAAAATTTAACAATATTTTCATCTATGTAAGTCTTTATAAAAAGTCCTAAAATTTAACAAAATCTTCTAAAAAAATTTAAAATTAACAATTTCTAGCTTTAAAATAGCAATCTCTTTTAAATTTTTTTCATTAATTTTTCCTTCACTCTCATCGTCTCTCTCCAACTCTTTCTCTTCCTCTCAGTCTCATTGTTTTACTCTAGTTTTTTGTCTTTATCTTTAGTTATCTTATTGTTTCTTTTAAAATTTTATTCAATTTATTTATCTATAAGATTTTGATTTCATAATTACACTTTGAGCCTGCCTGATCTAAAAATCACTAAAACTTTAAAAATAAATCATACCATAAATTTTTGTAAAATATTTTCTCGCTTTAAGCCCCACTTTGTGTTGGGCGCCCTTGTAAGACATGTACAAGTTGGGTAAGATCTAAAAGAGCATCAATTTGAATATGTATGTATTTATGTTAATCTATTTTTTGTCTCATGCTACCTTATTTAACTTTAATGAACACATTAATCTTACAATCATAATTACAAACCATAAACATTCATGTAAGTCTAGATGTCACTAGAATATATTATAAGAAAATTGAGAACTTCCTGAAATAGTTACAATGGATGTAGAAGTTTAAAAAAAGCACAACAAAGCACAACAATACAACCACCTTCCTCATGCCATGGAAATAGTTAGAATGGATGTAGAAGTTTCATAAAAGCACAACAAAACACAACAATACAACCACCTTTTCCTCTGGCGGATAAGCTTGAAATCCACTTCTTGTGAAGAAAACTAGATTGTAAAGGGACATGTGAGAATAGATGATTATGGTCTATAAAAGGACACTCTATAGAAGACGTAGCTACCTTCATCCCATAGTCAATTTTTTTGTTTAAGTGTAAGCATGTTCTCTCATGAATCCTTTTTCTGTGCTTCTTACCAGGTTTTCAGGTTCCTATGTCGCTCCATCTTTGTCTGCATGAATGCCCCAAATCCGTATGCGTAGCTGAAATTGTGCAAATGCAGCCAAGAACCTCACGGTTTGCGCGGGTCTCAGAATCTTTACAATCTTCATCACCGTCTTCCCTCTCAGGTAATCAGCACATTCCACCATCCTTCATCGTCGTCCTCAACCTCTCAATTGCCAATTCAACCTCACTAGCCTCTCCATTCACCGTTGACCTTGCAGCCTCTGCAACCATAGCCGTGGCCAGGTTTCCCTGAACCCTGGAGACCACCTCTGCTAGCTCCTTCTCTTCTATTCCTGTCTCCTCTATCAGCTGTCCCATTCTTCCTAACTGCTCCTCTGATAGGTCTGAGACCCTGTGGATGACAAGTTGGCATGGAAGTTCGGGTTTAAATCCAGCAATCCAAGAGAATGTATGTTCGAATGAAGTAAACCAAGTTGGAGATAACACAAGGAAGTCGTTCTCTTGTGTCAGTTTTGATTTCTCATTGAAGTACCGAATATAGTGAGCAATTACGCCGTCAATGAGTTCTTTGAGCTTGTGTTATTTTTCTTCTTTTTCATTATCATCTTGGGTACAATTTTGTCTTGTTGATTCGAGGAGTTCGTGATAGAAATTTTCCTGGCGAATCGAAACCTTTTCGCCAACCTTGGTAGAAGGTTTCAAAATTGTCAACATAATTGTATGTTTCGAATCTGTTGTGAAACATTGCAGATTTTTGACTGCGGATGAATTGAGACTGACTCGTGTTGTAGAACGGATGGACGATGAGGGGTTTGTGACACGATATACTGGTTGGTTTTTTTATACAGGTGATTTTACGAGGGGATAGTCTTGCTTAGCGGTGAAAAAGTTGTATGGGCGGTGATAGCTTCCATTGGACACTAGTGGACGTAAAAAATATTTGGCTTAAAGGAGTCCGAACCGGTACATGCATGATGTGGGAACACAAAATTCAAACGTCTATTTCTGACACTCTCTCTGTGTCCAATCAAATTGCGAAAGTGACTGTTAATCCAACTGAAGAATGAGAATCGTGCAAAAACACAGATTAAATGACATATTACACGGCTAAATTCTAACTTCTTGTAGGTGGGTAAACTTTACTTGGGGGTCTATTCTCGGATCTTGATAAATAATACTTGTTATTAATAAATTTATATATTTTACATGAATTTGATATAATAATATACAATATGATTATTATAAGGGTTAATGACAAATTGCATCACAAAAAATCTCTTAAATCTTAATTTGTACCTTTAAAAATCAAAAAATTTAATTTGCACCTTTAAAGACATAAATTTTTATTAATGTGCACTTAAAAATAACAGATGTTTAGTTTGACGTGTCAAATTAAATGTATAAATTATACTTAGATCCCCTTAAGTTTGCTTTTTAATTATATGGACTTCCTCACATTTGCAATATTATATCTACACCCCTTAAGAATCTAAATATGACTAAAGTGTTTTTTCCAATTGGGTATCCAAATAATTTTGTTTAAATGATGTATTGCATTGGATAGAAAGAACATTATATAATACTAATACTATTGAATATTATATAATACTTGTATTGTATTGGGTATTCAAATGGTAAACTTGATTTTTAACTGTAGAGTACAACGGATCCACAAAATAAAAGATAATATGAAAATTATAGTTGTTTATTAGGAAGACATTATGTTTTTAACGATTACATTAACGAATATTGACGATAGGTGTTTTGTGTTACATGTGTACAAACATCAAAAGGTATATGTGTAATATGCTAAATGTGAGGGAGTTTAGTGATTAAGTGACAAATTTGAGAGGGTCTAAGTGTAATTTATTCATTTAGTTTTAGACAATAAACTAACCACTGTCATAAATTAAGAATTTTAATTTGATTAACTTTATTATAAATAATTTATGTATAGAATAAATAAATTTTATGATGAGACTATTTAAAAATAATACAAATTGAATATGATATTATACATTACCTAGTAAATTGTGGAGCAGGAGCTCCTGGGGAGACACGTACCTGGCATTATTTCAGATTTATATCACAGAATTCATGATGGAATCAAATAGGAAAATTTAAGTCGGCTTAATGTTTCCAAATTGATAGCTATCAATCTCAGAAGATGCAAAAAAAAAAAAAAAAGAATAATGCAACTTGAACATAAGTTTGCTAACTTAATGAATTATTACTATTAAGTTAACAGTGTATTCCAGAATTAATCAAGACCTATTATTAATTTAATAATTATCTAATAATATTTTTTAAAAAAAATGAATAGGAAGTGTCAGTGTCCCACGTGCTTGGTCTATATGAATTCGAAGTATCACTCGGCCACGAAGACAACTATTTAGGAAAATTCTGTGGAGCTATAATTGGGCCTAAATAAAAGCTACAGAAAGCCCGATCCAGAATATTTAATCCGGACTTCAAGGCCCAGCCTAATTCAGAATTTTCCTGTATTGTATGCGACCTACCTAAATCAACCGAAGTATGAGCACTATTATGAATACCAGTGATAATAAGAACGAGTTGTAAGAGATTTATTTTTTATGAATATTTTAAATTTTGAGTGCATAGCCTATTTTTGATCAAATCAAAAAATGATTAGTTGAGATGCACATAAACTTTCAATATTTTTTATGCTGTTTTGTATAACTGTTTTTCTTTTCCTTTTTAATTGATATTGTTCTTGCATGCAAGTTTTCAAGCAATGCTTTTTTTTGGTAGATCTTGTATATTGTAACTATTTTGTGGTTTTTGTTTTTCTCCCAGTATGTGATTAATTAATTCAGTCATTTGTATTAATATTTTTGTATGTTGTTTTGTGTAACTGTTTTTCTTTTCCTTTTGAATTGATACAATGTTATTCATTTTTTTAATATCTTAATTAGGAATGGAGAGATGTCCCGTTGCACTTCACAAAGTTAATCAGGAATGGAGGAATGTCGTCATCGGATGGGATGTCCCGTTGCACTTTAGCTTGTTGCATGAAATCATCATGAAAATCTCAGTTAACTCATACTGTAAACAATTATCAAAAACAATCACATTACAAAGTTACACAAAAATAGTTGATGATGCACAAATCGGTATTGCGTAAGATCAACAGTCAATAATATAAACAGAAACAATTAATAAGCAATAAACAAACAATTAATGATAAAATAGTAGATAAAGAGCTAACACAAGGATTTATAGTGGTTTGATCTGAGTGACCTACTCTACTCTCGTAAACGGCAGCGGTGGTTTGAGTCTTTTATTAATGGGTGAAATCGCTGGAGAGAGTATTCTTCAGGAGTATTATAGTGCTTAGAGAGGGAGAGAGGAGTGTGTATAAGGGGAGGTGTAGAGGTTTCAGAAGTGTGACCCCAATGTAGAGAGGACGTACATTATATAGTTAGGGGTAAGACAGTGACGTGAGTGAGAAGTCTTCCACAATTTTGGTAAGTACAATCTTTGTAGGATTAAATCTTTGTATCACGATATTCTCTCGCTCGTGTCCCTATTCCGTCAGAAGTTGATCCTGAGTTGGACTGGGCTTGGTCTTGTCCTTGAACTTGAATCGGAGTAGGCTTAGGCTTGCGTTAGAGTCAAGAGGACGTAGGAGGACAAAGTGGCAGCCCTAGGCGGCGCCCCAAGTGCTTGGGCATTGGCTCTTGGTGCTTTAGGTGCTGACCTCTTGGGCGCTGGCCTCCTGGACGTTGGCCTATTGACAGATTGGCCCAACTTCCCTTAGGCTCTCTTTTGGGTCCTAATTATTTGGGCTTCTCAGTTTATTTTTATTGGGTTTGGTCCAATCAGATTCGGGTTCATCAACAATTACACCATAAAGTTACAACATTGTAAATAGTATAAGAGTTACCACAAACTAAAGTAATATATGGTGTATCTACATTAACCTAATCATTGGTCCAGACATTGGTAACTATTTAATTCGTTAGAATTGGATTCATCTAAATTTTTTTAGAGCATTGTAACTCAATTGCACATAATAACTATTTTTAAGTATTGCTTATGAATCATTGTAGGCTATAACTAAATTTCATATCATGAATATATACATTTAACATACTATTGGACTTAACAGATACTCAATACAGTTACAACAATTTAGTAACATATACTGAATTCAATTACTTAACAGATACTCAATACAGTTACCAATAACATATATAAGATTGAAATACTTAAAATCACAAAATAGTTATTCAATACAGTTTAACCCATTAAATTTTTGAGTATTAATTGTTTGTAATTTGTGATCACAAATAGTTACTTAAAACATTTACGTAAATATTTTTAATTAAAAAATTATGGGTGTTTTAGGTGTGAGTACAAGTTTTTAAACTTATTTGAGCAAAAATGTATGTATAAGTTGTTTATTCCATTAAGTACAATTTTTATAAAATATTTTGTGTTTAAATATAAAATTCAAATGAATTAAAATCCGTTTTACCTAAACAATCTTTCTTAATTTATGCAGTTATCATTACAGTTATTTGAGAAAACAAATATGTAAAAATGTTATCATTCATTTTTAAATTTTGAATGAGCAAATTTTTGTGGTATATCTGCAGTAAAAATGTGTCTTCAACAGCTGAAATTTTTTTTTCGATATATCTCTGCAATAACAGTCTTTATCAACGGCCGGTTTCATTGCGATTTCGTTCAACGTATGACTTTACGATTTATTTATCTGGTTGAGGTATATTATTAGTTTATTTTCATTTGCTTCCAAAGTTTATTTTTGTTAATAAATAGTGTTTTTTTTCGAAAAAAGGAATTGCAAATATCGATCACAATTATCGGTTTGAAGATAAATTTTTAATAATTATATTTCTTCTTTTATTCGGTCATTTTTATTGGGAAATCGTAATTTCGATTTTGTTTTATGTTGTTCGTTGTTGGAATGAAAGGAAAAAAAAAGTGCTCTATTTTTTAATGGGTGTAACTATTTTTCGTATAGATAGTAACTATTGTGTAACTGTATTGAAAAAAAAAGATTGTTTTGATTTTTAATAGGTGTAACTGTTTTTTAATTGGTGTAACTATTTTTTGTATAAACAGTAACTGCTGTATAACTGTGTTGAAAAAAAAAAGACTACTTTGATTTTTAATGGGTGTAATTATTTTTTAATGAGTATAACTATTTTTCGTAATAGACAGTAACTGTTGTGTAACTGTGTTGAAAAAAAAATCAAAGTTGCATTTTAGTGTAACTGTTCTTGTATGCAAGTTTTCAGTCAATGTCTATTTTTGTTAGATCTTGTATATTGTAACTATTTTGTATTTTATGTTTTTTTCTCAGTATGTGATTAATTAATTCAGTCATTTGTATTATTATTTTTTTATGCTCTTTTGTGTAACTATTTTTCTTTTCTTTTTGAATTGATACAATATCATTCATTTTTTTAATGTCCCGTTGCACTTTAGCTTGCTGCATAAAATCATTATGAAAATTCTAGTTAACCCATATTGTAAACAATTACCAAAAACAGTTACATCACAAAGTTACGCAAAAACAATTACACCGTAAAATTACAACATAGTAGATTGCACAAGAGTTACCACAAATTACAATAATATATGGTGTATCTATATTAATCTACACATTAGTCCAGACATTTATAAGTGTTTAATTCGTCAGAATGAGATTCATCTAAATTTTTTAGAAACATTGTAACTCAACTGCACATAGTAACTAATTTTAGGGACACAAGTATTACTTATGAATCACTGTGAGCTATAACTAAGTTTCATACCATGAATATATATATATTTAACATTTCATTCGACTTAACAGATACTCAACACAGTTACAACTATTTAGTAACATATACTCAATACAGTTACTCAACATATATTCAAT